TTCTTATCTTTGGAGTCTGTTTCTCCAGTTTTAATTTAGCCTTGGTAATTCTGCCTGATCTCAGGAACTGCTATTGCACTTGCTGGAGTTTTTCTGTATTCCAGAGCCAAGAGAATCAAACCAAATAAAAAACTTTCATAGTCATACAATCGAGATGCCTGGACGAGGACCTAGTTCGATCTCAAGTGCTTGAATCCAATCGAGTGTAATGATTGGATCTTTTCGAGAATATACTGAAATTCTGGTACAAAATGGTCAATTGTATGATATTACGAGTTGAGCAAAATGAAGACTAAATACATTATATATAAATTTTTAAATTTCATACTTGGTTCAATCCATGTGCATGTGGAATGAAGTTAAGTAATATCACTGCACAAAATAAGAGCTGTAAGTAATCTCTTTGTAATTACCAAATGAATAGTTAACTTGAAACTCGTTGATAAATTTGACTCTACATTGCTTGTATATTTGTTCTTGGTTGTCTGCACATAGCTCTCATTGGTAGGTGAAGTGTTGGAAAGATATTTATTTAATTATGTGAGAAAATTTTGTTGAAAGTATGTAGGTAACCAAGAAGACATTTGGATAGTCTTCTATGTTTTGGATATTCATTGATGGTATTTAATTATTTTTTTAAAATAAATAAATGAAAGTTATTTAATTTTATGAGAAAGTTTTGTCGAAAATACTTTGGTAAGAAGACATTTGGAAAGTCTTCAAAGTTTTGGAAATTCATCGATGGTATTTAATTATTTTTTTAAAAATAAACAAATAAAAATTTATCGAATAATCTGCAAATAAAATAGCATAAATTATACAAAAAATGGGTTAATTTCACAAACGGTCACTGAACTTACAGAAAAATTACAAAACGGTCACAGAAGTTTAAAACTTTCAGTAACGGCCACTTAAGTATTGGGACGCTTTCAAAAACGGTCACCGAAGTTTAAAAAGTTTCTGAAACGAAAACACTTTTTTAGTTTTTTTGGTTACATTTGCGACAATTTTTCGGCTACTTCCAACCACCGATACCATCGAATTTTGATACCGTTGGAAAGATCACAACGTCCTCTTCAATTACCACTGAAAATCTCTTCGTAATACCAAAGAATTTGACCAAAAAATCACCGCAAAAGTTGGCCCAAAAAATCTGAAAATCTGCCTAGATTTTCAGATTTTTGGGCGACTTTTACGGCAATTTTCCAGCGACTTTCGACCACCAAGACCGTCGGATTTTGATACCGTTGGAAAGCCCACAATGTCCTACTCAATTACCATCCAAAATCTCCCCCAAACTCCATAGGATTTGGCCGGAATAAACCCGCAAAGTTGGCGTCCCAAAAAGGTGAAAATATGGGATGCTAACTTTGTGAGTTTATTCCGGCCGAATCCTTTGGAGTTTTGGGAGATTTTGAATGATAATTAAAGAGGACATTGTGGGCTTTCCAACAGTATCAAAATTTGGCTATTTTGGTGGTCGGAAGTTGTCAAAAAATCGCCGCAAAAGTCCAACAAAAATCTGAAAATTTGGGCAGATTTTTGCCGTTTCGGGTAGCCAACTTTGTAGGTTTATTCCAGCCAAATTCTTTGGAATTTGGGGGAGATTTTTTGTTGTAATTGAAGAGAACATTGTAGGCTTTCCAACGGTATCAAAATCCGGTGGTATCGGTGGTCGGAAGTGGTTGAAAAATTGCTGCAAAAGTAGCTCAAAAATTTTTAAACTTCAGTGACCATTTTTAAAAGCGTCCCAATACTTAAGTGACCCTTAATGAAAGTTTTAAACTTCAGTGACCGTTTTGTAATTTTTCTGTAAGTTCAGTGACCGTTTGTGAAATTAACCCTACAAAAAATTATATCATACAATAGTTCCAATAGGATCTGAAAAATTATAAAAAAAATTTAGCACTATTTTTGCACGTGGTAATGAAATGCGCATAAAAATTATATGCATAGAGAAGGATCTTTATATTGAATATTAAAAGATTATATCATGTTTCCAAGCAATCTCCTACCATTTTCGTACTCCAAGCTTCTCCATCAACGACATCAATAATCTATCTATTAATCTAGCACATAGACGTGTGGAAATAAGAGAAATATTATTGGACAACAAAAATCTTACAAATATTACAAAATTATATTCAACTTGAAGTTTCTATCCTTAACATATCACAATTTTTCAACCACTAATTTATTTCAAAAATGCATTATACCAAAACTCATTTTCAACCACACATTCTTCTATAAAATAATTATACACGTATTTCAAAAATTTTTCCTTACTTTTTAACTACACATTCTCCCAAAAAAAAAAAAAATTACTATCCCATAATGCATTTTATCCCAAAAATGAGAATCGAACAGAGGCTAAATATAGTTCTCAATTGGAAGACACTGAGAAGATTTTATTTTCTTCAAATTTGAAAGTGGATACAAAAGTGAACAGTTTGACTTCCAATAAATAGATAAATTAGTAAATTTTCAATTAATTATTGATAAGTTTGATACA